ACTTGGGTGTTTTGTGTTTTATCGCAATTGTTGCAGATAGCAAGAGTCGCCACCGACTTTTATTTTATCCAATAAAGGAAAGGGTGAAAAAAACAGGAAATACCTTTTGAGAATTTTCTTGAGTTCGGGGGGTAGGTTATGTGAAAGGAAGGTGTTATTTCCCTTTTCATCTGTAGTTATCTATGGGCTCTTAGTTGCTAGCTCACTTTGAAAAATCGCTTTGTTTGAAATGTGTTTGTGATGGTTTTGAAAGTATTTTTGAAAGTTCCTTTGTTTAGGCGAACTTTGTAATGATTCTCGTCTTTATAAGAATGCATACAAAGTGTTAACTTTTGAAAATATTTCATTTGAAAGTGTTGGTGTGTTTGAAAGATGTTTTAAAAATGGTTGTGAGCAAGCAACTACGAATGTTCTACCTACTCAAAAAGTCTTTGTTCATTTCCACCTCCTTTAAATATTGCTATCTTACTATTGATTGATAAAAAGCCCTATTATTGGATGTGAAGGGACGGGCGTGGGTCATTATATGTAAGATACTTTAGCAATTTTTGTAAGGGTCTAAGATCATTTATGAAGGCAACATTTAAAGGGTCATCGAGGGATTATCATAATGTTTTTGATTGTTTTGCTAAAGTATCCCACGTTTGCGTAACATGACTATTTTTATCTTGGGCAACAAGTGAGATTAGCCCTAGAGGTGAAAGTGTGCAAAGTGTTTGTTTTCATGCTCTTTGTCTTTAAATTAGGGTTTTCTACTTGTTGATTTTATGTCTTGCCATACAAACCCTAATTACTAGCATTTATATTGAAAGCAGTAAATTGCGGAAATGTAAAATTCTATGCTATTACATCATTTGGGGATGGGGATATAATTTACAAATGGGGGATGAAAACAAATAAACCCAAATTTACTATTACAACCACATTGAATATGAACAAATAAATGTACAAGAATATTAAAGCAATACAAAATAAAAAATAAAAATGTTTTTATTTGAGTTTTTGTATGAGGGGTTTAATATTATCCTAATTAAACTAACAAAGAAAGAAAATAATTAATTATGTCTAAGTTGATTAAATAGAAAATAAATCTAAATTACTCAGAAAAAGAAATTAGATTATTTAAGAAAGAAATTGTTAAGAAAACGTTTTTAATCTTTTGCTTTAAATAAAATAAAGGTGTACTAAATATATAAATAATAAATATTAAATATTTTTGGGGTTTTTGATGATAATAATAATAATAATAATAATAATAATAATAATAATAATAATAATAATAATAAAGAAAAGAGAATAAAATAAAAATATATAATTAAATTCAGGGGGGGGGGGGGGGGGGGCTTAAAATGAAAATGGGGTTTGAAAGTAAAACAGGTTTTGTTTTCTATTAGACCCAATGGTGTTTTTTTATAATCAGAAAATAAAACAAAAATAAGAAAGTAAAGGGCCTGCGTGTTATTCAGGAAATGGGGGGTGAAAAGAAAGAAAATTTCCAGGCCCAAACAGGCTGGCCCAACGCCTATGATGATTCAGTGGGGACAATTTTTTGGAGGCGTATCATGGGGATGTCACCAGGAGCGTTGGATCTGAGGATGATGAGATCAACTGGTGATACTATGAGGTGTACCAAACGCACGTATGCCTTGCCTTCATGGGATCTGTAAAGAGAAAATATGAAAAAAAAATAAAAGGGTACCAGTGGGGCTCGAACCCAGGTCCCAATGGTTAACAGGCGCACGCTTTACCACTCGGGTGGCTATATATCCAGTATTATAAACAAAATCATAAATTTATATTTGAAACATGTTCCTGAAGATGACTTCATCTTCTTCCTCGCGCCAGAACATTCAACAACATTTTTGAAATTGCTATCTCTCTCATTTCTCAACCATTTTTAAAAGTATAAACATGAGAGTTGCTAGAAATTTCATCACGAATCCAACCATGTAAATAACTTAAGTTAACACTCAAATATGAACACGAATATTAATTGGTACCAAAATTTGACCTAATTTTTTAGGAAGTTCAAACTCAAAATTCACACTACTCAGGCAATATAAATGAAATATAAGGGCATGGTTAGTTTCAGGGCTATGATATCTACATCTTATCTTAACAAACCAGAATCAAATGATGCTTGTATGAAGAGATAGAAGTTCAGAAAACTCAACTTGCAGATGGAGATCTTATTTTGAGGTTGAGAAGCTTTCAAGGTGTTGGAATGATCTGGTTAGCTTCCTTGAACCTCTAGGAAGCTAAAGCAATGCTTAGCTTGTATTGTGGATGGCTGAATCGTGCTATAAAAGTCAAAGTGCAACACTCTGTTTTTGGTTATCGAGGATGGTGATGGAGGTGTTACAGTTCTAAAACAAGGATAAGGATGAACTATGTTTGATATATGGAAGCTTTGAAAACATTTTTTAGGGGAAACGCATGATAGAAATGAAAGATACATGTTTTTGGGTAGAACTGTGTACAAAGGGAGTTTTGTATGCAATTTATGGCTAGAGGGAGTTTGATGGAGTTCCAAAGCTTGTAATTTAGTGTGTCAAGTTGCATAAAAGGTTCTTAGTTTATAGTAAAATGTTTGAGAGCTTGAGGTGGTCAGAATCACAAGATCACAAGTTATGGGATTTTGACTTGTTTTTGAAGCAAGCTTGATAAGTATGGTTTAAAGGCAAGGTACAAAGCTATCTAGAGTGGTTACAAACTTTAAACATTCTTATCTGATTTTATAGAGGAAGCTTTTGCAGAAGGAACAAGTGCAAAGCTCAATACAAGTTGACTTTGCATAAAGCTTGCTTTATGAGAATGGAATGGTAACTTTCTTCCTAATATGGCAAATTGCTTTGGATAATGCTTGAATCAATTGGACAATGGCTCAATCAATTGTGTAAATCATTAATTATGGAGTGAAAGACAAGTTTTAAGCCTGCAAAGCTAGATTATGCAACATGGCTTATGGATTTGGTCAAGTGTTCTTCATGAAAAATGTCTTGTAATTCAAGTTTGAAACCCTAACTTCATCTCTTTGATTCTCCTAGCTCAAGAATGATCTTAATGAGTTCTGGACCATTTTGAAAATCTTGGAACATCCTCTACAACTTTCATGTTGGACATTTTGTCAAAGTCCTCTTGGAGCTTGGTGAAAATTGACCAAGAAGTTAGGTCAAAAATTTGTCTAAACTAGGTCAAAATTTCACTAAGTGTTTAAGAAAAAGTGCATGGCTTTATGGATTCATAACTAAAAATCCAAGAATTTATAGGATTTGATTACTAAATAAAAGTTGTAGATCTCATAAATATCTACAACTTTATGTTGGAAGTTTTCTTTGAATCATCTTGCATCTTGGTAAAAAGTTGGCATGAAGTCATGAAGAAAATAAGACTTAAAACACTTAGAAAATTTCCTAAGTCTTGAAAACTTTGACTTTTCAAAATGAATTTTGACTTTTTAGATTTCTTGATGATAAAGTTTCATATTTTTTAATGTCTTGATGAAATGTGATTTTTGAAACTCAATTTTGATCCAAAGGTCAAAGTTTGACTTTTGGTGTATTAGTAGACTTTTCATCAGTTGACTGAATTTCAACTATCAATCAATTAATCTTGAGAAATGATTTGAGCCATGAAATTAGGTGAAGAAATTGTATTTGAATCCTTGAGATTGTTCTTCAAGCCATTAGATCATGTATTAGGTCAAAAACCCTTGACCAGTCAAATACAATAAAAACCCTAATTTTGACCATTTTGCCCTTTTTATGATTTTGAACATTTTTCTTGGGGAATTGTGATCCAAACTTGATCAATTGATAGATATAACTTAAAAATGTTTATATTGGTAAAACATCTTGAAGTTTGACTGTAGGTTGATCACAATTGACTTTTTATCCAATATAGTTAATTTTGGGTCATCTGATCAATTGACTGAGCAATTTTGATACGCAAGACTTGAAACTTGATATGAGCATTATTGAAGGTCCATAATGATCCATGAAATTAAATTGAAGCACTAGAAGTCCAATTGTCCTTGTGAAAATCCAAACCCTAATTTGAGGCATCAATGTTAAGGAGATGGCTTGACCTAGTCAATACTCGTGCAAGCTTGAACCATTGAAGATCTTTGTGAGAAATGTCTTGAGAAAAAAAGGGAATTTTTTTGGGTACAACAGATAGCTTCACAGAAAAATAATTATAATGTTTCATAGTTTTCTCTAACACATATTATCTAAAATTCAACTTTGCCTTTGTTCCTAGTTGGAAGATAAGTTTGGCCAAGGCTATGGTTATACCTGAACTGTGGTTTGTAGGTGCCTAATTTTATACACCAATCCTATTCAAAATTGCATACTTCACACTCAATCTTCCATTATAGAGTAATCCTTTCTTGGGACACTACTTCACTTGCCAACCGATTATTTCCTTTGCAATCTTGTCCATTGACGGGAAGTTTATCAGATAGTGTAGACTTGCTTCTGCCTAAATATTCATTAATTATCATATTTGAAAACATCACACACCTTACAATAACATACACTTATCTATACTCCATGTTTCCTTCAACATTGCACTTAATAGTATTGTTCATAATTAATTCCTTGACCGACTTTTCATAGCAAGGACCAACATCAGTTACAATTTTCATTAACCCAACATCTCTCAGCAACTCCATAATATATTTAAATTCAAGAGCTTCTTTACCTAGATCTCTCTTTATATTTATCTCATGCTCTCTCTCTATCTCTCTCTCTCTCTCTCTCTCTCTCTCACGAGAAATACTTCTTTGTAATATATATTTCCAATTCTGAACACTTGTTTTAAAATGGAATGAAACATTATCCATGGGAGCTGAAAGGACATTCACATGAATTCTCTTCCCACCAACCTTTCTCCTTACAGTGGACACATTGTCTAGAACATATTCTTTAGCATCTGTCTCAAAGTCAGTTGCTTGAACAAGCTTTATCTTCAAATATTTCTTCTCATTAGCTTTTTCTTTAACATTTCTTTTCTTTTTCATAGACTTCTCTTTTTGAGTTTTCTCCTTCACAGTCTGAATATCCTTTATGCAGGATTTGGAGGGATTCATCCTTCTTCTTCTTTTTCTCTTTTACTCTGTCAACAACAGAACGAGTTATACTCTTCATAAAAGTAATTGTAGGTTCTTTATCATATTCACTCTCTTCATCCATATCCATCATATCTTTATCCTTCACTTGAGTAGTCTTTCCTTGATACTTGGTTATATTCTCAATGATTCTCTTCATTATGTTGGCAATGGGAATGTCATCATCCTCATTGTCTTAAACACTATTTTCACCTTGAACCTTAGGCTCTACATTTTTAGGGTCCTCATCCCTCAAATATTTAGTGGAAACATCATTTTCATTCAAGATATCATTCAGATACGTATCAAAGACAGGTATATCAAGAGTTGGTTCATTAGTGGGTTCACTAGGAAGTTCAACATTTTATTCACTAGACGGTTCAACATGGAAATCAATGGTGGTTTGAGCAGGTTCAACAATATTCTTAGTAGGTGTGGTATTATCTTCATTAGCCAGAAAATTAACGAGCTTATCAATATGAGCATGCACAGATGTGTCTATGTCAAAGAGAGTTACCTTTTCAATTGTTCTATTCTTCATGAAGTCAAAATTCTTAGATCTTGTCTTTGGACCATCAACTGGGACAATCATCTGAATAGGTACAACATTGAATATCATGTCGTATTTGTTATGCTTGTTACTTGATTCATAAGTCCTAGATTTATCCTTTGTTGCTTTCTCCCCCATCTTGACTCCAAGAATTTGACCTGATACGCATTCGTAACATGTTTGGGTTCAGAGGTCTTAGTTTCTTCATATTTTTGACTCATTTTCCATACAAGATTGAAGGACTTGAGAGAGAGGTAGATGAACAATTTTTTTAGAGCAATAGAGAGTGAGAGAGCCCTTCAGGTGTGTAAAAATAAAAGAGTTGTGGGAAGAATATAAAATATGAATGATTTTCCTTATTCCACGTGCAACAATGATCATAAGAGAGAAAAAATTTCATTTTATTCGCGCATGCCTTTCTTTCATTGATTGCTATAAGTTCTCATACATGCAAATACCAAGAGCTCCCCTTAGATTTTCAAAGTGTGTTGCATCTAAATCTTTAGCGAATATGCCAGCTAGTTGATTTTTAGTTTCTACATGCTCAAGGTTTAAAATTTTATCTTCCATAAGTTCCTTGATGTAATGATGACTAATGTCAATGTTCTTGGTTCAACTGTGTTGAACATGATTCATTGAAATATTAATAGCACTTAAATTTTTGTAGTACAATGTCATGACATCTTTTTCGGCATTATACTCATTCAACATCTATTTAATCCAAAGAAATTGGGTGCAACTGCTCCCTACAACAATGTACTCGTCTTCTACAGTAGATAGTAAGACATAATTTTGCTTCTAGTTGAACCATGAGATTAAATTGTTGCCAAGAAAAAAGCATCCACCATATGTGCTTTTTTATCATCAACACTCCCAGCCCAATCAAAATCACAATACCCTACTAGTATTAAGTTACTATCACGAAAATATAGAATACCATAGTCACAAGACTCATCTCTGTTAGAACATAGTTTGATTCTACAACCCTTAGTTAGAGTTTTGATGATAACAAATACAAAGAACAAATATGCACCCTAAAATTATGTTATTTTGTATGCAGAAGTTTTGACCAAAGCAGCATCAGAAGTTAAGCTATAGAAGTTACACGCTGAGGTAATCAGAATTTACACTGAAGAATGATGATCAGAACCCGCGCTTAAGTGAAGTAAACTCTGATTCTGAACAGAAGGATTATAATCTAAGTCATCAATGTTCTGAAGCATCAGCAGCAAGTAAGGATGTAAGATTCTGAAGCGTTACTATTCAATCAAGACAACATCAATTACAACGACTTCATTCAGACAGGATCTTCTTAATATGGAAACTCCTTAAATGACCATTATCACGCTTAATGATGAACAAGATTCCATTGCCTATATAAACAAGATAAGAGATCAAATCGTTTATGATTTGCCAACACTACTGCAATACAATTCAAACGATGCAAGCTTTCTCCCTTATTTTTCCACGCTCTAAAATTGTGTAAACTATCACAGTTGTGATAACTGTTTTTGTAACGAAAAACAACTACACAGAATTATTGTATCTTAGATTAAGACAGTTTTTCCTTGAGATTAACCGGATTGTGGTTGTACTCAAGAGGACTTTAACAGTTGTCAAAGTAGTGATTGTAATCTGTTTGTGATTAGTGGATTAAGACCTCGTTGGAGAGAGGTGAAATCACCTTGACGGGTGGACTGGAGTAGTTTGAGATCAAACGAACTAGGATAAAAATATTGTGTCATTGCGCATTTGATTTCAAGTTTTTCAATTCAACCCCCCCTTCTTGTGTTTTTCACTTCTTCAATCTCCAGTTCAAACTGCATTTTATGAACAAAATGTTCCACCATCTTATTTTACATTCCACCAAAGATAATGTCAACAACATAAATATGGGCTATCATGAGTTTTCCTCTATTATTATTCATAAATAAGGTTTTATCTATTTCACCTCTATTGTATCCATTATTGATCATGAAATCAATTAGTCTTTCATATAAAGCTATTGGATCTTGCTTTAATCCATATATTTCTTTCTTAAACTTACACACATTCAAGGGTGAGAAAAACACAAGAAAGGGGGGGGGGGGTTGAATTGGGTTTTATAACAAGATTCTTATCTTTGAAATTATTTCTCAAACTAACTAGAAGGAATAAGATTAAGGAAATAATAAAATGATCTTTTGGTATATACAAGTTCACCTTCAATAAGGCTACTATTGTCCACCTGCCAATGTGATTTTGCCTTCAACAAGGACTTAATCCACTAATCTCAATATATTACAGATGCACGGGCTACCCGCCAATGACTCACAATAATCGTCTAAGAGTATAAAAAGACACCTTATCCCTCTCAAGTCTACAAACTAACAACCTAGTCACTTGAGGCAATAATTAGTTCTAGATAGAATTGCAATCAGTTGTGTTTACAATGTTTGCTTCTAAAAAGAAGATTAACACAACAATTAAAATCAAAGTCTTTAATACAAATAATGAGCAACAATTCTTTGTATTAAGAAATCTAATATAAACACAAATAATGAGAAACAACTCTTTGTGTTTAATCCCTAATATCTTTACACAATAATGAGCAACAACTCTTGTGTTCTTGATATTTCTCTAGAAGAATATTTGTGGATGAATATTTGAATAAGGATTCTTCTTTTTTCATGATGTTTTTCAGTATTTCAGTAATTTGATTGAAGCTTGATAATGTTAAGCAATTCGTTGTTCTTCAAATTCTGTTGAGGTCTCTTTATATAGACTTTCAAAAATAGACCGTTGGTAGTACATAAACATCATTTTCATTTGCTAGCAGCAGTAACGGTAGCATTTCAACATGGGAAACAAAATAGTACAATACATAAGCATGTAGTGGAATTTGAAGCGTATGTTCTATACTATATTCTTCATGGCTAAGTTTCTTAAAACTTTATCTTCTTATGTTTTACTTCTGTCTTGAAGTAGTAAGCTTGGATAATCTCTCTTTGTGATCTTTGTCCATTTGCTCTTTGCTAGATTCATTCTGATATGATGAATGAAGATGATCCAGAAGATACTTCACTGTTGTAGACTCAGAGTCTTTCAGATATTTGAACATTGTCCTCAGATATACAAGCAACAACTAATCTGAAGAACAACTTCTTTATTTGTGAATGAAAGATTTTCTGATCCACTATGTCTTGATCTGATCTAGATTTCTGATAATCAGCTTTTATAAGCTACATGTCTGATCTTTGATTTCTGAAGCAAAATCTTATATTAGTACATATGAATTTCTGATTCATACTTTTTGATCTGATCTTTGATTCTTGACTTCTAATCTTGGATTCAAATATTTAATTTTGATCTTAGATTTGAGCTGGAAGCACAAAGCTTGTGTCAGCTACTTCTTTGTTTCTGATCCTTTTACTTTTCGATCTTGATCTCTTTCTATGAAAGCATATGTGATTTCTGATCTAAGAACGACGCTTTTTTGAGAACACATTTGATTCCCTTTCTGACGAACATTCAACATTCCTTAGAAGTGATGATGTTTCTTTAGAAACAGTCACAATAGTTCTTCTGGTGAGTGAAAAGGTGTTTCTGATGATATCTTAATAAAGACTATAATTTGATTCTGATCTTGATTTTGATACTGAGCTGATCTTTGAATTTTGATTTCTTGGCTCCTTGATTTTTGATCTAGAATCACAATGTCTTCTTAGAATCATATTGAGATTCTTTTCTTGTTGAACATTCAACATTCAACATAACTACTGATGTTTCACTAGAAACGAACTCAATGATTTTCTTTCTAAGTGTTAAAGTGATTCTGATGAAATCTTGATTAAGACTATCCATAATTATAATATCTGCACACTCAATGAAACCATTAGAACTAAAATTGTTCTACATAAAATATATGCATTGTTATCATCAAAACAAAGAGATTTAAACACAAATCCAAATCTTATTCTAACACACATGATTTGGAAAGTTGGGATTAATGAATCTATTTGGTTGCTCTACATAAACTTTCCATTTAAGATACCCATTCAAGAAGGCACTTTTAACATCCATTTGATATAATCTGACGAGAAAATAGAGCAAATGTCTCATCAAAATCTACTCCTTCTATTTGTGTGTACCCTTGAGCAACTAACCATTCCTTGTTCCTTGTTATATTTCCACTTTCATCAAATTTGTTCCCGTAAATCCATTTGGTACCAATGACATTCACGTATTTGGTAGAAATGTTGAGACTAAGCCATTGGATTGACTTAACTCTCAAAATTATTGAAAGTCGCCACCACACTTTTCTTTTATCCAAAGGAATGGGAAAAGTGCAAATAAATCCAAAGTAAAATAGAGATCAAGGTAAGGGGGTTGTTTATGCAAAGAGAAAGTATTAACACCCTAAACATCTACGATACTCCACAAAAACCTCTTAGAAAATCTGTGTAATCATTTTATCATTTAATCAAGAAAAAAGATTCAAAATCATGAATTGGATTTGGAAATTTCACTAAGTGTATGGAAATTCCATGTGTAAAATGTCACACTTTGCAAAGTTATAACTTCTTCACCAAGCCATCATTTTTCATGCTCCAATGCTCAACTTGAAGAGAATGATGAGTTCTACAACTTTGTCAATTTGGGATGATCCTCAAAAAATCCATGGATTAAGGGATATGAGCCAATAAAGTCATGACCTCAAAATCCAACACTTAGAGAAATTTTTCATGTGTGTTTTAACTTCAAAAGTTATTCACTTTATGGCCATTTTTCACCAGGTTCCCAATTGATTCAACCAAAATGTTCAACATGAAAGTTGTAGATAATATTTCAAGCTTTCCAAAATGTCCAAGGGCACAAATTTATCATGCTTGAGAAAGGATATTCGAAGAGATGAAGTTGACATTTCATTCTTGAATTATAGGTTATTTTATTATGCACTCATGAGTAAATCTCATAACCATGCTACACAATCTCACTTTGCAGGCTTCTAAACTCCTAAATCTCTCCATAATTATAAGATTACATACTATTTTTGGCTATTATCCAATTGACTCAAGCCTTATCTAAATGATTATTCCCTTAATGGAACAAAGTTAACACTTCCATTTTGGAAAAGCAAGCTTTAAACAAAAGTCAAT